AATTTTCATTGTCGTCATTAAGTACTCAATGCTACAGAATTCAGCTAAGTTAGTTAATTACTTCGGTAGACGGTTGAAAGTGTAAAATTTCTTTTTGCTTTACTGTGTTTTCCCGGTATGGTATAACCACGTCGCAAGGTGTAAAGCAAAATTGCGCTTAGCATTAGTAACCTCGTGTTACGCAATAGGGAGTATGTTGTGTAAATCAATAATTGAATTATTACGTTGATATCTTATTATAAATATAATAAACAGAGCTATAAAATTAATATAAAGAGGCAAACATAAATATTAAACATATACATGTACTAATGAAAGTGCCATCGTTAAAATCGTCGTCCACAAAGAAGGTCGAGCCAAATAGCATATCGGCCAAAAAAAATTATTATTAACATATCGACCGAATCCCTCCTCCTCTGTCTGACTGAAAAAATTCCCTTTTTTATATGACCGGCGAAATCTTTTACACCTCCGTCTAACTGCCAAAAATCCCACCCTTACTATCTGACCGTCGAAAATCCCTGTACTTCTATCTAACCGGCGAAGATCCCCGTACTTCTACCTGACCGGCAAAAATCCCTGTATTTCTATCTGATCAGCGAAAATCTTTGTAATTTTATCTGACCGGCGAAAATCCTGTATTTCTATCTGACCGGCGAAAACTCCTGTACGTCTATCTGACCGGCGAAATCCCTGTACTTCTGTCTGACAGGCGAAAATCCCTGTACTTCTATCTGATCAGCGAAAATCTTTGTAATTCTATCTGACCGGCGAAAATCCTGTATTTCTATCTGACCGGCGAAAATTCCTGTACGTCTATCTGATCGGTGAAAATCCCTATACTTCTATCTGACCGGCGAAAGTCCCTGTATTTCTATCTGACCGTCTGACCGGCGAAAATCCCTGTATTTCTATCTGACCGGCGAAAATCCCTGTATTTTTAACTGATCGGCGAAAATCCCGGTACTTCTATATGATCGGCGAAAATCCCTGTATTTCTATCTGGCCGGTGAAAATCCTGTATTTCTATCTGACCGGCGAAAATCCCTGTACTTCTATCTCACCGGCAAAATTCCCTGTATTTCTATCTGGCCGGCAAAAATCCCTGTATTTCTATCTGGCCGGCGAAAATCCTGTATTTCTATTTGACCGGCGAAAATCCCTGTACGCCTATCTGACCGGCGAAAATTCCTGTACTTCTATCTCACCGGTGAAAATCCCGGTACTTCTATATGACCGGCGAAAATCCCTGTATTTCTATCTGACCGGCGAAAATCCCTGTATTTCTATCTGGCCGGCGAAAATCCTGTATTTCTATTTGACCGGCGAAAATCCCTGTACGCCTATCTGACCGGCGAAAATTCCTGTATTTCTATCTGACCGTCTGACCGGCGAAATCCCTGTACTTCTTTCTGACAGGCGAAAATCCCTGTACTTCTATCTGATCAGCGAAAATCTTTGTAATTCTATCTGACCGGCGAAAATCCTGTATTTCTATCTGACCGGCGAAAATCCCTGTATTTTTAACTGATCGGCGAAAATCCCGGTACTTCTATATGATCGGTGAAAATCCTGTATTTCTATCTGACCGGCGAAAATCCCTGTACTTCTATCTCACCGGCAAAAATCCCTGTATTTCTATCTGGCCGGCAAAAATCCCTGTATTTCTATCTGGCCGGCGAAAATTTTGTATTTCTATTTGACCGGCGAAAATCCCTGTACGCCTATCTGACCGGCAAAAATTCCTGTACTTCTATCTCACCGGCGAAAATCCCGGTACTTCTATATGACCGGCGAAAATCCCTGTATTTCTATCTGGCCGGTAAAAATCCTGTATTTCTATCTGACCGGCGAAAATCCCTGTATTTCTATCTGACCGGCGAAAATCCCTGTATTTCTATCTGGCCGGCGAAAATCCTGTATTTCTATTTGACCGGCGAAAATCCCTGTACGCCTATCTGACCGGCGAAAATTCCTGTACTTCTATCTCACCGGCGAAAATCCCGGTACTTCTATATGACCGGCGAAAATCCCTGTATTTCTATCTGGCCGGTGAAAATCCTGTATTTCTATCTGACTGGCGAAAATACCTGTATTTCTATCTGACCGGCGATAATCCCTGCATTTCTATCTGACCGGCGGAAATTCCTATACTTCTACCTGACCGGCGAAAATCCCTGTATTTTTATCTGATCGGCGAAAATCCCTTCCCTTATCTCTCACCAATTATACATTTCTGCCAATCAGCTATTAGTTACCTTATGTTAAGCCAATCAGCGAAATTCGTTTTGGTCATGCTTTGTGATTCGAATGACGAGAAGATCGAAAAACTAAAGTCACAAGGACAAATAACACGATTTAATTAAGCGCTTTTTAAGCTATCGTGGGAAAATCAGCGCCGAAAGGATAGGAGAAAATGATGAAAAACGGCCAAGTTAGCTCTTTATATAAATAATAGTGATTGTAAAAATATGTACATGACTACATGTATAACCAGGCTACCCCCCACGCTAGTGTCACATCAATCAGTCTGTTTTACGTTACGCTTTTTTGCATTTCTGTATTTCCACTATATCCACAATATTAACAGTATTAACTAACCGTATAGTGCTCTTTGGCTCCTAAGTGTCGTTGTACCGCATGCAGTTAGTCAGCGGTTTTCGTTCGAAACGTTTCGCATTTCCGCCAATCCTTTTTTTTTAATTTCTAACGATAAGCCAATCAGCGACATTCGTTTCGAATGCGTTTTGTCAATCGGAGGACGAAATGATCGAAAAACAAAAGTCGTTGACGCAAACTACATGCTTTTAGGCGCTTTTCGAGCTATCGTGTAAAAATAAGTATTGAACGATGTAAGAGTAACTGTTTCAAAATAATAATTATTTTCATCTGCTGCAATCAAAACTTGCATTCCCGTTAAATGAACCAACCGAGTGGACAAACCGAGTACGTATGTGTGTGTCAGTGTGTTTTTGCTAAATGTATGCCCTTTGGCTTAATAATATGCATAATTATAGTATACATATGTTCGTACATATGCCATGAGTCAGCGGTTTAGGTTCGAAAGTTACGCATTTCCGCCAATCCTCTGTTACTTTCTAATGATCGACCTATCAGCGAAATTCGCTTTGGAGCCGTTTCGTAAATCGGAGGATGAAAAGATCGAAAAACGAAAGTCGTTGCCGCAAACTACATGATTTTAGGGATTTTTTGAGCTATCGTGTAAAAATTAGTGTCGAACGGTGTAGGAGGAGATGTTGGCCGAAAAAACGGCTCAGTTAGCTTTGTATATATAATACTTACCGTTTGTTCTGGCAGTAAATTAAATATTCCAATCAAATGTCCCTTAGCATGTACTTAGGGCTAGTTATATAGCTCGCAATATTCGATGTTATAAAATTACAGAAGTTCTGCTTCATCTGCACTCGAATAATATCGTCAGTTCGGCACCGTGTACAAGTATTAATGTGAGCTCTGGCGACTAGATCCTGGCGTCTGGCGCGGCCGAAACGTTTCGGGTCACATATCGGAGTGTTTTTAGGTCGCGCAAATGACGAGACGGGATGAGTCTGCGTTTATCGTCGTCCAGTAATCAACCATCACCGCACTACAATTAAATTGCAGCTTGTCAAGAGCGCACGCCTCTTGTTAACTTAATTGTCCCACAGGTAGTCCATTGCCGCATTTGGTTGCCGGTAATGGGAGCATATCAATTACTCTTCTCACTGGTTAGTTCTCATAAATGATTTGGTAAATAGTCAGTATATTACTGATCATAAACAGTTCGGAAATCGTTAGCTTCAGTATAACTATTTCTTGCGTATTGCCATGGGTCGATTTAAGTTACTGTAAATTTGCTCATGGTCAAAGGGATTAATCGTTGATTATCGTTGATTATGCAGCTCAAAATCGTTGATTATTCGTAAAAACTGAAAAATTCATGAAGACTGAAAATCTACTTTTTCAGTTCCGATGTATTCCCTGAGGGCATTTTACTTGTAATTTTCGAAAATACACTATTAAAAATTAAGTCTATTAAACAAAACGTCATATATTATATGATCGTAATAGATTGGAAAATGTAACGAATAATTTAAATAGAAGGTAGCCGCACTTGCACTTAGTGTTAATAGAAAGAAGCAGTTCACAATTTTATTATGGCTTTTATAACGTGACTTCTGAATAAGGTGAGAAATCAACCAAGATGCTCGAAGAGGAAAACTTAAATCCCATCTCTCCACTGTCGAAAAAATTCTCGTACAATAGTACATATATATTGTAACTACTGAGTAATATTACAAGTAACAAAAATAATTAGAATAATATGTACTATTAATTACTATAAATCATATACAAATTTAAATTTTTGTGTGTGTTTAGCAGACACTGTGCAAAGCGGATAAAGGCGAACCGCAACATATGCTATGATACTGTACACATGTGTTTAAATTATATTTACCCAGAATAAATCTGGATGTGTGGATTTGGTATGGCAATTCAGTTATTACCCTAGTATTATCGGTACCAATATCAAAACATACAATTCATTTAATTTACATCGTTCTCTATAAATTCTTATGTTTTCAACATGTCCAGCTCCACAAACCGCACGTAGGTAAGCGTAAAACTGAGATTTGAGAACAGAAATAATATTAGTACCAAACGTAAAGCGGCCCATGCGGAACTTTTGAAGAACAACTGCCACAGTAATACCGTGAATGCGGGTTGGGTTACGTGAGATTTTCTCCGTGCAACATTATATTATTGACAGAAGTACTAATAACCAATAATAATATCAGTACTTTTATTCCTTTGAAGTTGCCGCCGATTCTTGATTGGTCAGAGTTATTGCACAAACCATCGACAGACTGGCGCGCGGGCATTCTGTTGAATGCACGATTCGGTAAACTGGGAACCCGGCGTCGCCCGCCTATAATGCTCTGCTTAATGCTCCCTTATTAGATCGTATCTTACAATAAGCTTTTTGACGTATACATGTCCTTTGATTCTTTTGAAATTGAAGTCTAACCAAGGGGTGGCATTGCAAGAGCGCTCGAAAGTTCCAAGATCTTTTTTAAATTTGAGATATGCAAATTTCCTCAGTAAGTGCATGCATATCAAAGAAGTTCCGGCAACAGACCTTAATCTTCCATAGAAGTATTCATGTTTCTTTATGTCGCCTGCAGTAGTTAAAACATAGCCAACTGAACTATTAATCGAATGAGTAAATATGTTGCAAAAATTATCTGGATCCTGGATTTGTCGGATGAGTAAAACTGGAAATCGAAAGCAGTGCAATTAACACTTTGTTCTTCGTGGAAACAAAACTGAAAACATTAAGGGTGACCGCAGACGTTTCCCACCAGGAAAAGCCGGGAAAGGTAAGTTTAGTTTTATCGTAAGTATAATCGAAGTTTATGGTAGAGATATTCAGCCCAGGTTTAAAGATTACACTAGTACTCACTTGATACGCCGTAAAATATTATTGTAAGAATATGTTTACATAACTGAAAGAATTTGAAAAATCAAAAAGCAGTGCAGGGGAAAAAAGGCATAAAACTCATAAGCTCTCAAGCTCTCATAAAACTCATAAGTCTTTAAAAACTTCCACATTACTGAGCTACTGGCCTACTGCACATTGCCAGGTGGTAGGTAGAAGACCACTTCCCTGAAGCTGCAATTTCTGGAATATATAATATTCGTATAAATGCAATATCGCAGTAGCGAAACCGAAATATTACGAAATACACTTATTTCGTAGTATTTCTGTAAAGCCTAACTGTTATACTTCCAAAAAAGTATATGCAGTTCAGCAGCTGTGACAAGAGAAGTCTGATGTATGACTATGAACAAAATTACTAAAAAAAAACGCGGCATCTACTGGAAAGGTGGGTAGCAACCGCAGTAGCGCTAGCAGTACTAAAGTATGATTAATAAGGTGGGTATGATCAGCAACATTAATAATGGTCAGTGTGATAAAAATGCAAGCCGCAACGGTAGCGCATAAACTTATAAATTTGATAGACAACACTGAGGTGCTCATAATTTCTGTTATACATATCCAGCTGTCTTTAGCACTGAGAAATCAGCATTTTGTAACAATTTCTAGAATTTGCCGAACGCTGTTCTAAAGCGTTGAACAGTATTCTAAAGCGCGTTCCATATCCACTAATCGCTCAATGAGCCACTAATGCAAATTTCGAATTAAATGACAATGCCAAGACGTATAGGGCAACTAAATGCCGTAGTTTTGTTAATTTTCTATGTCGGCACCCCAACTGCAGAAATTGTATACATTTACGTTGTGTATTTGGTATGAATATACACAGAATATATGCGAATGCATTGTAAACGCATACGCGGCATATATCAAAGAAAAATTCTGTATTCCATTTGTTATGCTCTCACTTTTGCACCTGCCGATATAATCCTATCCACGCGACAGATATTAAGGATGAATATGACGCTCTAGCTGCTCTTTAACCGGTTTAGTGTTCGTGTTATGTACGCTCATCTTAGATCGGCGGCTTCTTTGATGTTTAACGTGCGCCGTTCAGGCTGTCTCAATTTCCGCGGTGCTGCCTAAAACAAAACAGTGTAATTTTTTATTATTAGTACCCGTACAAAGATGACAGAAATAGTATTACTGAAAATTTTGGAAACTGCAAAACTGAAAAGCTGTTACTAATCTAGGTAATAAAAATGATGGGGTCGTTGCAATTGGGACTTTCTTGAAGTGTTCAGATCCGCATCAAAATTATGTAAAGCGTTAATTCCCTTGCTACGAATAGAAACGATGCCGCGCATTTACTAACTATCCTCAGCAAATTTCTGGCAGCACTTACCCCGCACATACTGTTTGTCAAGTATACAGTTGGAGCGGTTTAGTGTAACCGTGTAAGCGATAATTATGTTCAAATTGTTTTATGCAAGCGTTGCTAATAAAGTGCCGTAATTATTCTTCCTTGTGTGTAGCTTGCAGAAATGCCCACTGCATCTCCATAAAAGCTTCCTTCACGATCCTCTCAGTGCGTCTTACTGCCGGTTCACAATGGGAACGTGGAGTGTCGCTGCGCCGTGGAAGCACAGTTCCGCTTATTCGTTGGTGGTCATTATGAATTTTGCCGCCATTGTGCCTATTGATTTGAGACCGACTAATCATTTCCATTCGAGCTTTTTGTTACCGAAAGACGATGATTTGTCCTCTTCGTGGTGGATGGATGTAGCTGACGGAAAAGTGATGAAAAGCACACTTGAGACGATCAGCAGCAGTATTAGCAATCATAATCACAATGCACCTGACCTCAGACGAGTATTCCTCAAAAATACTTCCGTCACATGCAACGATGGCTCAAGATCCGGGTAACTTAAGAATTTGATTTTCCTAATGGTTTGAACAACGCTTACTGCACGACCACTTCGCCTTTTCATCAAGAAAATCTGGTGACCAAAATGAAGTTAAAAGGTTCCCCGGCACCATTTTAAGATATAAGCCGAAAGCGAACGTTTCCTTAATATGCATTCCCTTTTTAATACATAATATGCACTCCCTTTAATGGTTACCAATATTCAGCTATAGCGATCATTTCTTTAGAGTAGTAGATAATATACTGTAACACATACGTCTTCTTTTGACCTTTCATGCGCAATAATTTTTAAAAACAGCAATCAATATTTAGAGACATTTTGTTACCCCTTAGTGGCGCACAATACTACTAAATTATATACTTCAAGTACATTCGATTATACTGTAATTAAGAAGTATTTCATTCGGTGGTGAAACCTGCATGACGATTATAACTGATTGTACTTAAGAACTGTGAATCAGCCGTTGAAATTCAGTTAGTTTGGAAGTAAAACCATATAGTTTTTGCCAGCAATGATTAACTCCTTGTGTTTTCTTATAGTTATTACATCCGAAAGTATCCCGGGAGTAAGACATGGCTAATATTCCTGGAAGGCGGATGGTACTGCTTTGATTCAAACAGTTGTGATTCCCGCTGGATGCACAGTCGGTCACTCATGTCGTCCAAGACCTGGCAAGAGCATCACATCGCATCTGGAATTTTGTCGCCAGATGCGGAAGAAAATCCTCTTTTCTGGAACACCAATATCGTGTATGCGGTTATTTTGCTTGCATAATCTGTTTGTGCCATTCCAGTTTTCGTTGCATTTTCCCAACAAGATTATTTGCAGATACGTACCGTACTGTTCAAGCGATGTTTGGACGGGCATCACTTCCGCCAAATCGACAAGTGCGTATAGTAAGCAGCCAAAGCTACACGACACACATTTTGCGTTGCGTTAGAATTCCCCAAATCATTTATCTACAATATGTTGGTGTATGCATAATGAAAGCAACTGGTTGTATATTTTTTACCGAATATTTATTTATATAGTATAACATGTATCTGCGTTAATGCGTGTGGACGAATTTTTGGTAAAGAACATAATGCAAATAACCATAACAAAGTACTGTACAGTACAAGCATTTACTCATACGGCGAACCTAAATAACAAAACGAATGCGGCATTAATAGTATGTGTTCTACAAATGTGCGTACGTTATTACATTGTAATATTTTTCAGAGCAAAAATTTTCCTTTATGGGCGCTCTAATTCTTCGAGAGGTCGTCCGAGCTCTTCTGCCACGCGGACTGCTGAAAGCAAGAAAGGTTCTTCTTGCGGGGAGCAGGTGAATAGTAATTTTTTCGCCAGATGCAATACAAATGAACTGTTCCTGTAGCAGCAGTCAGCGGTATTAATATCCGCAAATATAACCTTTTATTCTAATGGATATCTTTGAATTGATAATCTGATATAGCGCTGGGGCAACCGGTGTAATGCTTAACGTGGACCGGATTGCCGAGCAGCTTCGCGACGAAGGTTGCAAAGCCGAAGTGAGAGGGTTAATGGATTCCGGATGGTTTTTGGAATCGGAGCCGTTCCGTACCGTGGACTGTGTGGATCCACGCCGGTGTTCTCCCATAGAAAGTGTGAAAAAGGGAATTAAATTGTGGAACGGTGATATTCCTGACCGGTGCCGGAAACTGTACAGACATGAACCATGGAAATGTTATTTCGGCTTTAAGCTTTATCCTGTGATACAAAGTAAGACATGTACTGCATTGCTTACTAATGCTTGATTGTACTTGGCACGCATGTATGAAATCTAGATAAACGTGCATTGTGGCAGAGCTTTTAATTTGCTTCGTTAAAATGTAATTTAACTACGCATAGTGCAACTATACATAGGCAACTGAGATAACATAGTGCATAGAGTAATTTCATTAGCCTTACGTAATGCAGGATGGTGGTGCTGAGCTGTAACCCTCGGCAGTATTCATTTAATGGCTTAGAATGCAAAACTGCTGGACCGCTACTGTACAGTGAAATACTGTATCAGAATGTATTTTTAGCTCCATTATTTGTTTTTCAATGGCTGTACGACGAAGCTCAACTCATGGCCGCCAACGTTTTTGTGCCTCGGACTAAAGCGCATGGAACATATGTGCAGACCTTGCGACAAACCATGGTGGACTCTTTGAACAATATTTCGTAAGAATGAAATACGATTAAGATTTATTCGCTGTTCAAAAAACATACTTTTCTGTTTAGCGCGGTGTTCGCCCCATCTTGTGTTGGGCACGTTGTGTTGACCGAAAAACTTTGGTCCCAGTATTCAGTTAATCATGTGACCTTTGGAAGCGCTTTGAGATGCTGGTGGGAAAAGCGCGGATCCGGAGGTCGTCTTCATTCTACACCTTCGAATTCAGTTCGGATGAATGAAATGTGAGTGGTGAAGTAGTTTAAATGCGCACATGTGCTTTGATATATATTTTATGTATATGCATTCGCTTTTTCGCTACAATTTCATATTAATTTTGCTTTCACATCTGTGCTTATGTTTAGTAAGTTATTAAAATGTTTTTAGGCCAGATATGCTAAGTGATCAACCCACGTCTCCGCCACTATCCTGTAAGGAACAGCTAAGGAAATGCCGTTTAAGAAGGAAGAAACGAAGGCAATTAAACACTTCGGGAAGTACAAATGCCCGAAAGAAGCGTTGTCGATGTCACTCCGAGAACAATGTTGTTGATAAAATGAACAGGAAATCACTTAGAGCACAGCGTAATAAACGCCGAGCGGGGCTGCCAGCACATATGCAAAATTTTGGGACCAAGTTTTGCAGTAGCCATGTAATTGATCGGTGTTCTTTGCCAAACTGTAATCAGTATTGCCCGAAAAATTATGATACGTTTTCCGCACAACCAATAACTTTCGAACAGATGCTGCGGAATGCCGGCGTTTCTGGTGAAGATCCTATAGGAGAAGTGTTTCTTTAGATTTTGTTAACTTATGCGTAATTTGGTTTTTCATATGGCCTGTACAGTCGGACTGAAAGTTGAAAAGTGAGCGTTTTCATTTCAGTTGTTAATAAAGGTTGCGATTGTTAGTTGAAGATGCGCACTTGGGCGCTTCATTTGTATTATTATTCTTATAGATTTAGAGTAGATAACACTTGAGTCATTTTTTATGGCTCGACACGGTCCTTAAACTGCAACATGATACAAAGCGAAAAAAATATCATTACGCCAGGTAATTTACAGTGCGTACTGTACTCGTATTATATTTATGCTGCTATGTAAATCGGCGACTCATGATTTCGAGCTATCAAGCATGATCATAAGTTATCCAACAATTAAGTTACCAGAAAGAGCATTTAGTGTAATCTCTGTCACTGTAGTACGAGTACTTCGAAGTAGTCAATTTCAATTGCAGCACCCAATAGTGCCGATCTATGACAATGAAGACCTGTTTTTTGTTAGCGCTATCCACACGGCTGCGAATTTTGGTATGATGTGCTAGTATATAAAGGAGTATAACCGTAGGGCAAACATCTAGACATATTTCGGCTGAATGGCGTTGCTTTTTAAGAAAAATTCCCTATTGTTCTTCGCAGCTGAAAGCTGCACAGGCAGTAGAGTATTTAAAGGAAGAAGCTGTATTAACAGCGATAGAGTACAGTCATGTAGAAGAAACCTGGTTGTAGAAGAGATAAAATGGAATTTCCGTGCTTTTACACATTTCTATCTGCTGTGGCAGCAATTTTAACGCTGACCACTGCACTTCTTCCGGACGATTACGTCCAGAAATCTGCTCAGGACAAGCAGAATATTCTGTGGACGCAGATTGAAAGTTCCCCATACAGTCCGGCGCCACTGCCGACAAACAATCCCAGTTTTGCGGATTCTATACGTCTCTTCAACCAGAGCTACCTTCAAGTGGTGTTTTTTCACAGTTCCGATGAATTACCACCGGGTCGTAAGAAACTGGTTCACACCTACGGAATGGTGGCCAAAGTGGAGTTGGTAATCTTTCCTAATTCAACTTACACGGGTTTATTTCGCACGGGCGGAATCGGCCTGATACGCTTTTCTGTAGCCAAATACGATCCGCAGAATATCGTCCCCGCCATTGCTGTGAAGATTTTGGTTGATGGCCAGAAATCACAGAATTTTTTCGCGTTGAATAACACCGATGGACAGGGAACAAACACCAATTTTTTCACTCGTCCCATATCCAATTTCATCGACGAGCCGCTGACTATAGATCCAACGGCGCACGCTCTGCAGGCAGTAATAAGCGCCGCCACGAAAAACCTGCCCGGCGGCCCGGATGACCGGCCGGAATCCGCCCTCAATTTGCCGTTTTACGAAGCGGCTTCCGTTGACGCAAACGGAATGAATGTCTCGGAAGCTGTGCGAGCGCCGTACAGAATTACCTATCTGCCCAACGGCGATTTGGGATGGGACGCCAACAGTGCTCAGGATGTGCGCATGCAATTAACCACAATTCCCGAGAATTCAGTACTGTTCACCCTGGCAGTCAGTCCCACCCAAAATAGCGATGCGACGGAAATTATCGGACAGTTGGTGTCGCGTAGTCCGGTTTTTGGATCGCATTATGGCGACGAGAATCTGTTTTTCCAACACCCTTCTAAACGTTGGAGGTCATAGATTAATCAGAGGATCTAGTCATAATTGAAGTTGTGATTGCATTATTTAGTTTGTCTGCCCATGGAAAAGCTCTACTATCATTTTCCATTGGATCATAATACATGGCAATGCAATTCAGCTCTATCGAAATACATAGTATCGTATAGTACGAAATCATAATTCGTATTGTGTGTGGTAAAATATGTACCTCCACATATGTATAATCTGGTTGTATACATATTTTACTGTTGTTGTTGAGAGCTATAAAGAGAATTCTCGGTGTGAATAAAATCCTCACTAACAAAATGCTCCCTAACGGTACTTCTGTCGGTTTCATTCTACATAAAAATCGCATGTTCCTTGCGAGCCTAATATTCAAGCTTTTACTTACGAACACTACTAGCACACTGTAATTCGTAACAGGAATGTTAAATTCACTAATTAAGTACTGTGCTTCTATAAAAATACGGAAGCACACCAGCAATACAGTAAGAATTATCCTAAGAAACAATTAGGGTGAAAAAATGAATCTTATTTGCATTCTTCATCCAACAACCAATTTCTGGGATTCTTCAGAACTTGAAGTAAATCATTTTCTCTGGATCCAGGCGACGGTGAATGGCAGTATTCCCATTTCTGTTAAAGCAGAATAGTTAAACGCCTCATAAACTTTTGCAGCCGGTAGTAAATTAGGTGATCTCATATTAATTGCATTTATTGCACTTACGGCTAAGAGCGGCAGTGACATTAAAATGCTTTCGTATCGTGCGCCAGGAGTAAATAGTCCAAACTTCGTGCCTCGATCATACAACACTATAACGAGGCAATTATTCCGAAAATTACAATAAGTTTATGGATTTGTTTTGGTAATAGACTGAGCATCCTGCGGCATCGTACAGTTAAATTCCACATATCTGTAAACGAAAAGCACATAATAAGTTTTGTTATTGCTCGTCGAATCGATCAACATGAACTAAAGCGCTTTTGTACCGTCCTCGTCGCAGTAACTGCCAGTTTCGCTCTGGTGTATCGTATGGCTTATCCTTGTTTTTTGTGACTATTGGTACGTAAGAAGGTATAACGGCGTTTGCACAGCTCTGCAATTACATTCTCAATAGGCTTTCATTGTTTAAGAATGGTGCAAAATGAAACGATATTATCTTCAAGTGCACAGCATTTGCGCCCGTAATTAATTAAGTACAATACAAAAGTTATTTATGGTAAAGATAATTACTGTACGATTTGCACCTGAATAAATTTGAAGGAATTTTCCAAGGTCGGCTCTTCTAGATCGTCAAAGAATATGCCACCGACACCGCGACGCTCACCTAATATAAATACTTTTCGGTATTAGGCATTCTTATGAAACTTTTTATGGCTCTTCACAAAACGTAAACAAGTATATGATCTTTTTACAATGACATAAGACCGCATTACAAAACAGGTAACAACAATAGCAAAGGTCTATCAACATATCTGTAGATTACCGTAGTTATACCGTTTATATTTCATACGTTTTGGCAAATATGATTTCACAAAACGTTTGCTGTTACGCGAAATGGAAGAGTGCTCACTAACCTCGATGCGATATGACAAAATAATTGTCACACCACTCTTTGAATTTATTGTATTTATCGGCACCGAACGGATTGCACGCTTGTTTCAGCTGCAAATGGAAATGCCGGCAATCCTGCAATAGACAAAAATCATCCTAAATGCTGGTGTTATACAGATATTTCGGCTCTACGTATTACTTTAAAAAGGTACAGCGCCATAATTATTATGTAGATATTATTTACGACTACATTGTTCGCAAATCGTAGTATTGCACAACAGAAATCACGTTTTGTTGTTCTGCAAATATCACCTCTTCATCCAGATAATACGGCGTCAAGTCGGTTCCGCCGCCAAACCATGCCTGGACTGAGCCGCTAGGGTCAATTACTTCAAAATAGCGATAATTAAAATGAATGGTTGGCACGTGTGGATTCTTCTAAAAACCCAAACAATGATTATTTTGTTATCGTATGTTTAATTATTTTCCTACCGGATGAACAACTGAACTGATTCCTGTAGCAAAGAAGCTGAGCTGATCGGATGTCAGGAGCTTTCCCCTGTATTGTCATCGAGCATTTATCATTTCTCAACACATCAAGTTAAAAGTATCATTCGATGTGATCCATTTTACCTCGAACGCCTATAAAACCAAAACATGTTTTTAGATTTATGATAAGAATGTTATGGCAGGTTTTTAAATCAATCTGCTGTTTATATTGTACATTTGCGCTACCGCTTCCTTTGGCAAAACGCCGTGAACCACCGATATGTTTACTCCTGCTTTCTCAAACACCAATCCGTCTTGCAAAACACACGATATTCCTCCACCGCCCTATAAGAAAAGCTCCCATTCCTGTTTATTTACATCTGTACTGTACGACAAATTCGAAATTAGCTTATTCCTATCAAACGAACAGTATTTACGAAACTGAGCAAATGTCTGACGAGCATCTGCTTATTCGAAGTAGAAATTATTGTCATGTCATTCCTCATATCTAATAATAATAATAATAATAATAATGGAAGTTTATTGTCCTTTGCACGGAGCATTAGCCCCCTCTAGGCTACAGACAACAGTCGTGAAACGACATTGGAGTACAACAATCGCAAGTACAAGATCGCAAAGCAAAACACAAAGCATTCTTCAGCAAAACACAAAAACATCAACCAAACGGATACTACTGATCAGATGCAGTAACATTAAGAGACATAGAGATGGAAATAAACATTATTTTTTTTTTTCGGTTGCGATAAGTTGACGCTATATTACTGTGGAAAAAAGGGAGGGAGACGATCGCGCTGGGGTCGATGCATAAAACCAAAACCCACGTACAGCTAAATTAATTGAAATTTTCAAAAAGTATTTCCAAAAGAAATCGTGGGAAAAAGGAGAATTCATATTCTAGAATTCAAAAAATCTAGAAAAAAAAATCTAGAATTCAAAACGCTTACTTCCGGTCTTTCCCATCGGTCTACCAAAAATTTAGCAGTAGGTTCAAAAGCCTCCAAGGCATGGCAAAAGGATTGCTGGAAAAATACTCTATTAGCGCATAATTTAACAATTTGCGGCTCAACTAGAATATTCATAATAACAGGTAATTCACGTTGTTAATTCAAATGCTCTAGCGGAATATTGTGCCACACACAAGTAAGACAGTGATTATGTCTAATACCTGGATCCTCATAATGAATATTTCCATACGGCATTTTATCGGCGGATTCTCCTATTGACAACGATTACAGTAGGTAACACAAATTTCAAGGTTCTATCAGTCTTAAATACGCTTATTACCTTTGCATAGACATATAATTAACATACACGTACCCGTTACGCACTACATTTGCACCTACAATTGTACTTGTATTATACAGAATAAATGCGTGACCATGCAGTACCAATATGTACAACCCGTTTTTCTCTGTCGTTCGATGTTCAGAAATTAAACAGTTCCAAAATTAACTTACGACTGAGAGATTTTCTCTCGATGTTATTGGAACGGCCATAAACTCAGAATCCATTTCATATAGATTTCGCTTTCGGTTGCACCTTTCACTGTCTTCGGGCAGGGTTTATTCAGCTCTTAAAGGTTTTCCGTCCAATATTTTGGTAGCATAGAACTTATTAACCGCTTGTTACGCATAACTTATTAACCGCTTGTTATCTTGTTATCAGGCACTCATTTTTATGTAGTTGCACCTAAAAAGTAGTGGAAAATTCAGTCATTTAGTTACATGTTTTAAAGAAATGAACTACTGTACTTGCCATGCATGGTATCGAACGCTTTGCTACTTGCATTAGCTGAATTTGTTTGAAATACTGTACTGCTCTTTGTATGCACTCGTGTTAGCAGACGTTTCCGCCATGAATCTAATGTCGGCATACTTTTGCTCGGCCCAGCAGACTGGAGGACAAAGGTCACGCAGTAGTTATCGTGAAATCTTGACCACGGGTTGTACAAGATAAAAATATCTCGACACTGAAAAGTATGCAAAATTATTACATGAGGACTCCAGTTCATCTATCAGTACAATACAAAATAAAAGTGTCGTTATAGCAAGCAGTCGGTACTGGAAAGGTGGGTGTACAGAGTATAATCCATTTTTCGTTTGAAACAACCACGGTGTAATAGATCCAATAAAAATTTTATGAGTGCTGGGTTTGTGTTGTTTGAACGATCAAAATCATCTGGAATTGTGTGTTGATTTAATTTATTTTTGCGGTAGTCAAACGAGAAGCGTCACGTCATGGTCCGGTATACGCAGCTGTGTCCAGTGATCATGGTCAGTCATCCAAACTTTTTCGCGGTATCAGCCATCCAAACTTTTTCGCGGTAGTTGTATCAAAGAACCTTCATGCGCTTTTTGTGGCTAAATAGCATGGGTTTTTGGTTACGTGAACTTGTCTTACAAACAGAAGCAACAAAAAATTGGCCGAGTGTTTTGCATTAATTGTACTAAGCTTAAGTATAAAAGGTCATCGCTGGGCCATCTAGCAGTATCAGGAAAGGTACTCTACTGAAATCGTCAGGTGCCAAACGATCTGCTTGGGAACACTTCAGAATTACGTTTAATATGAAACATTCTTTGAAATGTATTGAGGGTCCTAGATCTGCAGGACTTTTTGCTTACAATATAATGGTGATGCTGAATCGAAGAATTGGAAGCTTGATTAATTTGCAATGATGGTGTACTTCTATCGATAGTACTTCGGCTTATGGTTAGGAAACTGGACTTTCATAGTATCGCAAAACTGATGATGCTGCCTTTTTAAACTACTTTCTAATCTTGCAGATAAGGAAGCTTTTCGACGCTACTTGTGGTGAGAAAATAGTAAAACGAATTTTCGTACTGATAATCTGGAATATACGCGGCTGACGTATACTCATCGACATTTTGAAGAACGACAGGAAGGCTGTAAGGCTGTAATCACTGCACTCTTTTTTTAACCATGAAACGCATCACCTTACAAAAATCATAAGCAGCTAGCCAAGTAGCGCTACCGTAGAAAACGCTTAAATACGCCGCTGCAACGTTGTTTGATCGTTTTTGCGACTTTCCACGTCACCGAAACTGTATGTCTATATTACAACTCTGTAAGCTTACAATCGATGCGGAATGCTCGGTCGATGTGCTGGTCCGCGCTCCGCATTCCACATATTAGAGTAGGAACAGTTGGAGCTGATTAACATCTCCACACCGGAGCACATGCGCCGCCACAGCGCTGACATGATAATCGCTGCAGCTTCTTTCGGATGCGAAACGATGCTGCGGGAAAAACTCCCATCAGTGACGTAAATGAACGTTGACTGACTGCTTAGCCAATAAGTATCCATTCAGCTTCCGCTTCTTTTCCTGCTTCCACCATTCAGGCCGCTGCCAGTGGCACATGCTCATGTTGATACGGATTATGTTCCTGACAGGAATTTGCCTAACAACCTTAGAGTACGACTGATTTTTGTCGTGCTTTGTTGCGCTTCGATTTTACAAAATCTTGTTTTACCAATCCCGCGGAATAGGTGTATTACAAGTCCCTCGGAGCGGAACTGAATGTCCTGCCATTCTGTTCGCAGTTAATTCCTATGGATATTATTCAGTATCCCAAGTACCAAAGTATTATTTACCATCCATCTCTCTTGCTAAAGCACCGCAGAGCATCGTCAATTAACTGGTAAAAATTATGCTGTTATTATCAGACTTTTGGCCTTCTTGTATCCTAAGGTATTCCAAAAATTATCGTGGGTATATGAGTGTGGTAAAGCGCCACAATTTGCATAGGCATTATTGTAAAGTGGCATAATCATTTGAGATTTCTATTTCATACGAATCCAGAGCACGGTAAACGATTGGACATACATAATATGTGTTTTTTTGAAGGACACTGATGCATGGTGATAAAAAGCACGACTGACAGTTTTCTGGGCTGATGGTGGCTTGGACACGGGACCGAGACTGCTGCAAAAGGAGTGCGAAGTGCAGGAGAATGACACCGTGGACACCTTGTACAATCGGTTTTTATTTCCGGAAGGGATTAAAGCAATGGTAAATTCAGATTCAGTTCGTAAACTGTGTTATATGGTCAGTAGATTCCCGGCGAGACAAATTTGTTCAAAACATCGGACTTGACTCGCTCGGAATTTAATGACAGTCATATTACAGTTTGGTATTTTGTTAGGTTTTACAAAGTTTTTTACTTCTTCAAGTTTAGCAACCATAGCAGTTTAGTTTATAACAGCTTTGATTGTATGTTGCTACATCTTTTATTGTAATATATGTAAATTGCAGGCGCAATAAATAAAAAGTATACAAGTAGGTGTTGTTTCATCTGTATTGTGGATCACGGGCTCTGGCATTTGACTCTCGTGGCGGTAACTTTTAAAATTTTTAGATTAAGGGTAAAATAGTAAATTCAGCTGTTTTTGAACGATACACGTGACGTGTGCAGCAAAAAGCTCTCTGAAGCCGGATATTCAGGCTTCAAAGTGCATGGCTTTGCTGAAGTGGATTTCCGGGATCTTTAGTATATCCCGGAAATCATGACTGTCTTTTGGTTTTCGATATAATCCGTGGGTTTTGGAGTTTGATATCGGTAGCGGTCTTGCGTTTTAGTGCTGGAATTAATAAGACTAAAGAACTGGACTTAATTGTGAGTGTATTTCGGAAGTTTTCTTAAAAAGCTGCGCCATTTTACAGTATCTGTCTGAGTTTGCTGTTGCTGACTGATTTTGTTTTGCTTTAATTTATTGCAATTTTTTAAAATGTTTTCTTTTGAAATAATATTTTTTCTTTGATTTTCAGTACGAAGCGGTGCAGCTGATTGCGACGAGCGAACACCCACCCAGAGTGGTCCAACCGGAAAAGGCGCCTCTTACGAACCAATTGTCAAGAAACAAGACTGTGAAGTGAATTTTGACAAGACGGCCTGGGAAATCCACAATCTTATCCGCGGTACCGATAAAGTTCCGGGAGCATGGACGAAGATCGATGGCAAAGTACGTCGACACATCGCTGTTCTAACGGAAACAGTAGCTTTAGTTGAATTATTAAATCAGGTTATTACGCTATATGGATCCGAAATGTGGCGCCGAGACGTACCCAAAGGCAAAGAAGTCGGGATGGATGGGATAAAAAAAGGCGCTATTGTGCACGATGGCGGGCTGCTTTTGTTTGGTTCAGACGGGAAAGCGGTAATTATGCCTTTCTAGATACGATTTTCACCTTGTTTCAGAATGAGATATTGCACAAAGCGCAGCGAACATTTTATGTACGTATTCTTCCCAATTTTTAACAAAATTAGAGTATAATAGAACGAAGCTTCGCATTGGATTCTTTCTCTCTGACTATATGTTACCCATTTCCAGATCAATGTTAAACAACTTGTATTGGAAGATGGACGAATGATTTCGGCGTCCAAGTACGGCGCAGCAGATACATCGGTTTCTTTGACGGAATTATCGCATCAGGAGTTGAACCTAAAACGCATCATTTCGGTTAGCAAAAAAACTGAGAGATAAGGCGGCTTGTTAAAGTTTTACTAACAGCTAACTGATAATTTGTCGACATTTGCAGCTAACAAGATTCTGGCGGGACTCTTCATGTTGCATTATTTCCAGCGGACATTTTTCTGTTCATTCCTGATTCGTGGCGGCAAACCGACACCTCTCGCTCCCTTTCTCATGGCATTCGTTTTCTGCACGTATAACGGCTACATGCAAGCACGCAGCATTCTGAAATTCCGTGGACCAATCCCGGATGTGGCGGATCCTGTGTTTCTGCTGGGAGTGGCACTCTTCGTCGTCGGATTGTTCATCAACATCCACTCGGATCACATTCTGCGTAATCTGCGATCCGATGGATCCAAAGCCTACAAGATCCGTACGGTGGCATGTTCGACTACATTACGGCGGCCAATCTTTCGGGGAAATTGTGGAATGGTGGGGCTTTGCGTTGGCCGCTTGGCAGTTGCAGGGATTTGCATTCGCTATATTTACCATGGCTAACCTTGTGCCGCGGGGTCTCAGTCATCATGCATGGTGTCTCGTACTTATGTTATAGATCATCGTAAGAACAACGAAAAATCGGTTCAATGTTATAATTTATTTAGAAAATAAATATTCGGAATTGTGGATGCACAAGAGCAAGATATTGATTTTGAATACGAGTTTTTAAATGACAATAAGTATCCGTAACATAACATAAGTACTTACCCGTCTTACCATATTCGGCGCTTGTCAGGAATTCATTTCATTGGATCATAAACTGTGGTAGGTTTTTCATCGATTTTCCGCCGATTTGAAACTGGTACCTGCGATGATAAACACACTTGGTTTGACTTGATTTGATTGGCGAGAAGCGGTCATCCTGGTAAAGAACTGAAAGTGATTGCATTAGCTTGATTTACCGGTAGAAGGGGATCTAACGTTCGTTTACCATATCCGGCCTCATGCGATTGACAGTGATTAATTCCGACGTTCGACGATGTGATTTTGGACTGGGAATGCCAGCGTTCGGGAATGACAGGTTGATGATACCGTTTCATTATGATTTGAACCTTTTAAAAAACGATGGATTTATATAAAATCACACTAAGGAGTAGTGCGGTAAAATGCGGAGTAGTTTATATCGGTTTAACTGCCGATTAAGCAAATTGATGACCTAAGCGTACGGTATATATTACGGACTTCAACTGGGAATGCATTGTTATTCTTGGTTTGGCTTCAGTTTGTCGGTTAACGTTATTTATGAGTGTTTTCTGTCGTTGCTTTTGGGTGGGCATTTTGCTTTGGATACAAATTCAAACATCACAACTTTAACGATCTGTGTCATACTGGAGCGAGGCTCACGAGAGATCCTGACGAACCATGACAAAGTAGGAGCGGGCGGGAATAGATATAGGATTGGATTATGTTCATGACGACATATTGCCGCCGGAAATCCGATTAAGAAAAATTTATCGGGACGCCGGTGATAGCTGCAGTGTGAGTCAAATGCAAAAAGCGGCACTGGAAGCGATATCACTGATGAGAGAAGGTATCCAGTGTGACCTTTATCTAGGACCAGGTAAGGCATCTCGATCCTTGAATGGTTTTGCAGTGGAACCTATTCCTTGTAGATGGTTGGTAAAATTGATTAAATACTTCCTTCCTTTCATAAATCGTTTAAAAAAATCTGGCTGGTGCCGATTCGCAGTATAATTATGAATGAAGTTTAAATATATTTCCTAATTGCCTGTGATTGCCATAATAATGCTTTTCATACAAAGCATGGATAAATGACTTCATGACGATTGTAATTTGTATCAACTTTGCCTGACATAACAGGCTGCAAATTTATACTTCTTTAAGATTTGTTTTGAGTTTCGCATTTTGCATCGCAGTTGGCGTGTTTTTCATTTTCAGGCTGTGTGGAGGCAGTCATAGATATCTGCAATATTGCTGTTTCTTGTATTATTTATTGTACCGTTATAAGCCTACGCGTATAGAAATCACCTAATGGTAAGTAGCTACTAGCTAGCCCCGTATGAATGGTACAGATTACCGGTACAGTCTGTCTGCTACCACTATACGTGTACGCGCAGATGAAAAAAAAACACAGCCTTTATTGCGTCTTCGTGTCCCTACGCATTATAGATTAATTAAATATGCAGGCGCGTAGGCCGCTGAGCGAAAATTTACGGTTGCGAGTATATATATACTGATCTAAAATAACTGAGCGTGGAAGGGTAGGCGATCGCGCTGGGGTCTATGCATAAAACCAAAAACCCACTTAGAAATTACTAGGCTTTAATAGTGAATAGTCTAAACTGCACACTGCACAGACTAAGTAAACAAGGAGTAGGTCGGTCAAAGTCCAGTAGGATATGCCGAGATCTTGTCGCAAAGATGGGTTCTGTCTGAGACACTGGAATTCGCTCAAGTGGATGTACCTGTTCTGGTCTGTACGAGTATTGTATATAACAGACCTTCATTCCCATTCCTGCTATGGCCCTGCTCACATCTCTTGTGAATCTCTCTGTTCCACTTTTACTTATTTCAGCGCGCACTCGCCGAGTCGCAGGTTTTATTTATTTCAGTACCTGATTTTCGCAAGTTTTGTTGAAATTCAGAAACTGTATGACATGACCCTGTCTGCTGCAACATGCTTACGCTAATATTGCGAAACAAAAAATGAAGTTTTTTGTATCCAGCGAACTGTATCCGAATGCATTAGTTCTGGCATAGAGAATGATTCTATTGAATGGCTCGTATTAGCACAATACTGAATGAATAGCTCGTATTAGCACAATACAACCTCCATAGCCCGAAGGTCAGTCTAAGTTGACAGGAGATGCAGCAAACGACATTCATATTAGTACAAGAAAAAAACACCGAAGGTCTCATTCGAATATTCTATGTGATTACCATTCAACGTATACCTAAACCTACGAAAATGACGCTTGACAAACTATTCGATGTTAGTAAAAGTCATATTAACCATCACTTCAAGCTGCTCTTCCACCAGCTCATCCGGATGGGCATCCAACGCGTCTGTATCCATTCCTGATAGTAAGAAAGGAATACTAATTAACATTATTCACAATCATCGGTCCAAATCACAAAACAGCAAAAATATATACCATCAAGTAACCTCGTCTAAGTTACTGAAGAACAAAAACTACAAAAAGCACTCAAATTAGGCAAAGTCGTCCAATTCTTTATTTTACACTAATCCTAGCAAACTTTTGAACATTTAGGCACCTAAATACGCACCTCGCCTTAGCGCCACTCGTTTGTGTCGTCCCTGCTCGAAGTAGCGCTGCTTTGCCGTCAAAAAATCCGTAATCTCTGTCATCTGGCGTTTTCGCCGCTCCGACACTTCCTAAAAATCATGGTTCTGTGCTTCACAAAATCACGGTTTTGTGCTTTCGTGCGCTGCAGGTAAGTCAACCCACCTTCGAGGCTTTTGATGCCAGCAAGCGATCCTTGGTTTCGAATTCGGATGCGTATTTCTTCAGGTTCTTTTTGATATCTTTGAGTTTTTCTGCTGGGAGAATGGAAACGGGTCTCGGTCGCCAGCTGAACATACTCAACCCGTCTACTTTCTCGTTACGGATATAGCGGCCTTGGAAGGAATACAGTGTAAATCCGTTATCTTTCTGTAAATTCCCACAAATTTCTGGGTGAACAAAATCGAAATATTTTGAAGAACATCAGCAAAAGTTATAAGGATGTTAAGTCTGGACAGGCCGGAAACAACTGCACTGTCTTAAAGTACAGAAATTGCCATTATAAATTTACAATAAGCATTTACCGAGCGATAAAATCAGTGATTGTTTACAAAAAAAAACCAACGAAGACAACAAGAAACAAAATGTACTAATATTGCACTACTTTGCTACTACCCAATAACAAAAATTATTACCCTATTTCCGACATTCGAGGAGGATGTAACAGCTGTAAGGTAGCGTCCTGTGGGATCCCACTGTACGTCAGAGAGCAGGAAGTGTTCCACGTCTGCCAGCACTGACAAATCGGCTGTGTCCACAAAAATTAAATACCCGACGCTTCCGCTGCAAGGCACACTGTCTCTAAAAGCCCACGGTCAGAAATACGATTATGCTGTACCTCGAAGCCGTGTGAAGAACAACGAACTGTCCCATAGGTGACCATGAGATTTTCTCCACTTTGTGCCGCAGCGCTAATTTTTCTACAACGCATTCAACCATAATAATCACCTTAAACTGTAAAAAATGCAGCCAAAAGTATCGATAAATCATAAACCACCGTACATCGCAGAATATCTAATAAAGCAAATGCGAGCTAAGTAAAGAAGAAGAAGGTTCACGGATAGTTAAAAATCTCAACTTACCAGATTCCTTCAACTTTTCGGTAGAAAACGGCACTTACTAACTAATTCGAACGTGGCGCCTTGTCGTCCACTGTAGAAATTAGTCGATGTTACTGAATCAGCCACAGTCAGCACTACTAATTTGCTGCCATTAGGCTCCCAGGATAAATCCACGATGGGATCTGCAAACGTTAACCACACATTCATTCGAAGTTTTTCTGGTAAACCACTGTATTTTAATGAAACCGTATTTAACAGAAGTTTTTTACTAAAAGAGGAGAGACCCCCGAGATACAAAAAGATTATCAACATGGCTACGAAATGCAGACCGATCTTGCGAAATATATTCAACCTCTTTCTCTAACAACTGCCATGAGATTCGGTAATCCTAATTAAGTTACAAGGCAATTACCATTTCGGTAACGAACAAATCTTGCAACCAATAACTTCCAAAACCGAACACTCTACTCACCTCGTATCTCAATGGATTCTACGGGGACTTCCTTTCTCTTAATCAGGGTGAAAATCTCGAGGTTGTGAAATATTCCACCGTAATCGAACTTGTCGGCGCCTTTTTTCTTGATATGTTTATAACGCTGCACTTTGACGGCCATGTAATCGCCGTTCTTCTGCCAGTAGAACTCACAATCCTTGACGCTGAACAGCTGTTTACTGCGGATCTCCTCCATGGGCTTATCTTTGTCGAGAGGAACGTACAGCAGAACGACTCGGGCCGGTACATCTTTGTTGTCACTTTCCCGCACCCAATATGCGAGATAATTGTGTGCCGGACTCCATGAGAAATCTGCCACGCCGGGGATATCGCGGACAACACGAGAGAAAGTCTACGAAAACAGTGTGTGCAAATACCCACGACTTTCGAAACAGGCTTGCAATATCAATGTCCAATCAAAACGTTGAAACAAGGTTACGTATCGAACAAACTTCAGTAAATAGGAACAGCTTTCTGTATTTGAAATCATGGAAAACCGTTCATATCAAATAACTGCCACTAACCTTGGTGTTGTAAATGTTAATACATTCGTTCTTTGTCATTGTGGCAAAGTAGTTTTCGTCCGGACTCCACCTGGAATGTGAACCGCATTCAAATACCAATCAAATAAGCATCAGCATGCGCTGGTCTCACTTGAGAAAATTCGGATTCGGAGAGTCCTTTTCGCTCCAGGGGAATCTCTTCTTTTTTGCCGACGTAACCACATCCCACAGTATCAGACACTGCTCGTCAACTGGCAGATGCTCGGGCTTGTTGCGCATCGTCAGAAGATATCTAGGAAAAAGAATTTTCATTTCAAAAAATGTTTTCTCGTTTTCCGACCTGATTAAAAGAATCAACATTTCTACCAAAACCAATCGATGACCAATAAACTAACCGTAAGCACTGGTAGTATATTTACCGCTCATTAGGAGAAAATGATGCGTTAATGACTCCCTCGTGGCTGAAACGGGTGATCTGCGCAAAGTTTGGTCCGCCCCAAAGAGCTACTCCTTTCTGGTGAAAGGTGGCCAGGTAGGTGCCAAGGGGTGACCAAATGGCGTATCGGTCGGTCCAGTGCTAAAATAACGTATTCATGCAGAACCAATGTGCTACACGCTCGTCCTCCACCTGACTTCAAAATGGTGTTACAGAATCTCCACTTATATACGAGTACGCAGTGCTATCGGGCTGTTGGTGTAATATTTTATGAAGACTACTTTAATTTGCAGTCGGAACTTCAGGATCGAAAGTGTTTAAGAAGTACTTACTGTCGTACGTTATAACTTATAACCGTTTAATTCAAAAATGAACTCTGATAAAAAAAATTGATCGCTCACTTAGATAGTCAAAAATACGTCTATTGTAATAAAAATAATTATTAGTAGAAAGATTGATTGAAACAGCATGATAAAAAAATCTTGTTCAACATTAATTTTCAAGTACTGTCCACAAACCTCGCGTTCTTGCAGCAGAGCGGGTTCCACGGGGGAATTCGCATAGGCCGTCATCTTTTCGGTTCCTGTGTTGCCGCCCCATATGACAGCGTAATGATCATAACAGTCTTCACTTTCTAGCCAATAGCGCAAATTCCCCTATTGAACGACAACCAAATTAATAATAAAAACAAGAAAATTTCCGAATTTTTGAAAAGTACTCACGGGATCTTTGAAATCCTGAACCGTTGGCTCTTCCGCTTCATCCGGGACCGAAATATATCTAAAAATTCGGATCTCTAACAAACTTTTCTTACCGAATTTGCGTTAGACAGAATGGAAAAAATACGCGAGCTCAAATAACGATTTATCATTAATTTTTATGAAGTTTTTTATTGAATATACTGTATCGATAAAGCTTTCACGGCCTTACTTGTCAAAATCCACGAAGAAGTCTACAGATAATGTATGCTGCTTGTCAAATTTATATCCATTCATCGCCTTCTTAACCCGGGCCGCTATCGAGGGTTCCGCATCGGAATCAGCAAACTCATAAAATGCGAAGCTGAAAAACATCAAATCCAGGGAAAATCCAAATACTCAAACCACACCAACTACGTACACATACCAGCAATTCACCATCTGAACTTACCCCTTGGACACGTTACTTTCATCAATCGGATGAATCTCATTGATAATTTCCAATTCCGACACATCGAAGTTTGCGTGCTGTACCATAATCTTCTTGACCACGTTCCTCAATTTCTCCAGGCGCTCCGGCGGCACCATAGGCAGTCCATCCAGGATGATGATACTCTCCATTCCCGTCGTTTCATTGGGACGCAATTTCTGGATATCAGGTAATAATTCTGTAAAAAAATACAGACACCTGATTTCCACGAAAATAGGACGAGAAAAACGTGGAAGAACCCGCGACCCCGCTGAGGATGGGTACTGGGGCTCCTCACCTTCATCAGTGATATTGTCGATATAGTCGGCTGGATCGGCAAAATTCGGCATGTGGGGATAGCTTGCAGAATCGGAGCGCGATGCGGTCGAACGCTTTCGACCGTCGACTAAGGTAGTCATTTTTATGTAAAAAGAAATATCATTGGAAAAAGAAATATTTATTATCTATATTCTATTAAGATGAATTACCACGTATCTCGGTATCTACCTGATTTTACCAGAAAATGCGGGCAGCCTTGCGTTGGAAATATGGCGGACAGTACTATATAATTACAAGTATCGGTCGCGCTAGCGCGCGACCAGTTGTGTTCTAGGTATGGAAGAATGAAAGAAATTACAAAACATACTCCGTGCAGCAATAAAATATTTCAAATATAAAACCCCACCGAGGCCAGCTACGAAAATATTTTAAACACGTAGAAATGCGGACAGCTTTCAAGCTTTCCGGTTAAAATCGATCAGTTTACAAAAATTATAATAATCTCTGTGATTTTTCTTGTTTGTCTTTTTCATGTTTTTAATGTAACTTTATATTGCTGATCTAGCCAACTGAAAACTTGAATTTTTTGGTACGACAGGTAGTATTTAAACGGTGATAAAATGGATGGCGTAGGATCACTTACACGATGCCCATAATAATGATAAAACACCATTCAGCCGATATTTCAGCGCAGAATTAATGGAAACTTGTGGGAAAGTTAATAGTTGCTTAAAGTGACCTCGCAGACTGCATCTTTAGCTACTAACTGCAAGATTTTCAGCCATTCAGCCAGCTGTTCAGTATTTAATAAAACTAGGGAAATGCACCGCTCCTTGCTAGCACTAAAAGACCCAGCCAAGCTAGAAATATTTCGAGAAGTATTTAGAACTGGGAAAGTGAATTACACACAGGGATGTCGATGCACTGCGCAATTTTCCTTTTACTGACTCTGATATCCATAATAGTGACTAACAGAAGACTGCATAATATCAGACACTTTATTGGATTCATTTATATCTAACATCTACGAACGATATAATATGTAGAAGTATACTTAGTTAAAAAACCTGGCGCAGGCGTTCTGTTTTAACTGTCCAGTTATCTTTACTTTGGAGCGGTAGCATTTTGCTGCTTTAATGAACTGCAGAAGATTCAAAGGAAAACGATCTATCGCCAATCTACCCCAGTTCTTATGCGGAAAAAGCCGACATAGAAATGCCGACATCGCCGCAGACTTTACATACGTTCTGTAACTTCTGTAAAATTGCCGGAAGTTCTGTAAAAGTGAACCAAACAATGGTGTAGTGCTGAATCTTACAGAGCGCTACAGAACAACGACACAGAAACTTAAAATGATGTATCCAGTGTCCAGTTCCAGTATATTTTTTTATGAATTTATGCAATTTTTTATGAATTACCACCGTAAAACCCTGGGAGGCGAGCGGGGAGGGGGGCCACCGAGCTTCGGGAGGGGCGTTTAAAACCGCACGGGGCGTTAATTTCGGGGGGGGGGGGGGCGTTAATATCGGGTTTTACGGTATTTGAAAAAAAGCTATACTCGTACAGTGCCAAATGGCTCAGTTCCGATGCGTGTCATTTGGGCATCATGGTGTCCGGCTTGACCTATGGTCAGAAAAATTATACAAAAAGTGACTTTCGTAATTGACATTTTTGGTCGATTAATACTAATTTTCAGATGGCTATTCCCACTCCTTCTGGTACCCGGCGTTAATAGGTTAAAGTGCGCGGCGAGACGGGATGTATTATATATGCGTAAAGTACTGCACTTCAGTATTATTTGTACTTTGTATTATAAATTTCTGGATAGAAGAACCTTAGACTAAGTACTGTATATTAAAGTGCACTGCATACGTATATGAACTATGGTAACTAATCCGTACACTGCCTTTCCTTATCTTTTACGTCGTACACTACCATTCGGCACTACCTTTATCTGCGTTCGCGACCTTTTACTGTTTTGAATTCTTCATGTTAACGCTATTTCCGGACCTGCCGTTTTCGTTAACAGCTGCCATTGCCGCGTAAGTTCACGTATTATCACCAGTTGTACGTAAGTAACTCTCGGCTCCCGGATACCGGTTTTTCTTCGCACAGGGTTTGAAACGTTGGCATTGCCGTTTTCATTTTTGAACGAAGTTTCGACCAGTTTCGCAGGTTTCTTCTGTACTAGAAGTTGCCACTTGGTCTTTTCAATGTACAGGGCGAAAGGCAGTGTACGGAGTGAAAGGTAGGTGAAGGTAGTTTAGGGAGTGGTCACCTTAAGTTATTCTGGGTAGCCACGATTGCGCAAGAATTTCTGTGTGCGTGACCGACGTGACCGACGTGACAGAAACTCCCGTTTTCTTGAACATAGAGGACCTTCGCTTCGCTTCGGTTGATAAATTAAATACATATTTATTAGATTTTAGGTTAGTGACTACCAAAGCTGCCACCAGTATTACAAAGTAACGTAGGTTTGTGAATGCCCAAGCTACCACCAGTACCACAGAGCCGCTACGTTGTGAATACAGTAAACGGGCCGCGGGCCGGCTCTTGGATATTAAAGAATTAGATACTCGTATAAATTAGACACTTTAGACCGTGAGATATTGAGATACTCACATTTCTAGATATTTTTAAAATTTAGAAACTCTGGAGGCTAAAAATATGTAGAGGTAACGGCCCCGCTGCGCGGGGCCGAGTCGAAATATTTAGAAATTCTGGAAATGTAAAAGCTTTAAAGCCGACTTTGGAAGAATTTATAGTTATTTTGAGGAAATCGAACGGATTTAAGAACGTCTTAAAGGTTTCAAGAATTAGAAAAAATAAAATTATGTTTGATGTAATTGGCAATTTTAAATAACAATTGTTTAGGTTGCTAAGTTGCGAGTTTTCTAAAAGCTAACAGCATTTAAGTACTATAACTTACGTAGTATTACATTAAAGTACAACTTACGTAGTATTACACTAAAGTACTAACAACATTAATTTTAAGTACTTAATACTACGCTGCCACATTTAAGTGCTACAACCTTAAGTGCTGACAACCCTTAAGTACTACAACTTTCAAAACAGTTTTTTGGACCTTCTCCAAAACTTAAGATTTTTTTAAAGATGAAGGTAGGAACGTTTGTGCGATGCTCTATTTTATAAAATTAACAACTTATTGAAAAAATCAATGTTGATTTAGGAGATAATTTCCAAAACTAACAACCTTTAAGTACTGACAATCCTTAAGTACTACCACTTTTAAAAATTTTTTTAGACCTTCTCCAAAACTTTAGGTTTTTTTAAAGATAAAGGTAGGAACGTTTGTGCGATGCCTTATTTTATAAAATTAACAACTTATTGAAAAAATCAATCTTGATTTAGGAGATAATTTCCAAAAAATAAGGACGTAAGGATATATGAATCTATTGATATGAATGAAGTGAATTTGTATACTACTATACTGTATCAATAGATTCATATATCCTTACGTCCTTATTTTCTGGAAATTATCTCCTAAATAAGATTGATTTTCAATAAGTTGATAATTTTATAAAATAAGCATCAGCTCTACCTTATATCTAAAAAATCTTAAGTTTTGGAGATGTCTAAAAAATACAAAAAAGTGCAGTACTTAAGGGATGGTAGTACTTAAAGGTTGTTATTTGAAATATTCTAAATCAACATTCATTTTCAATAAGTTGTTAATTTTATAAAATAGAGCATCTAAACGTTCTACCATTATCTTCAAAAATCTTAAGTTTTAATGAAGAATCTAAAGAAAATTTTAAAAGTTGTAGTACTTCTAGGGTTGTTAGTACTACAGGTTAATAGTACTGTACTTAAATGCTGTTGGCTTCTAGAGTTCGCAGCAGCAGCCTAAACAATAGTTATTTAAAACTGCCAATTACATTAAACATAATTTTATTTTTTTTAATTCTTGAAACCTTTAATACATTCTTAAATCCGTTCGATTACCTCCAAATAACTATAAATTCTTTCAAAGCCCGCTTTAAAGCTTTTACATTTCAAGAATTTCTAAATATTTCGACTCGGCCCTTGCGGCCATCTATATTTTTAGACTCTAGAGTTTCTAAATTTTAAAAATATCTACAAATCTAAGTACCTCAATATCTCACGGTCTGATGTGTATAATTTATACGAGTATCTAATTATTCCTGAATATCTAAGAGCCGGCCCGCGGCCCGTTAACTTCCTGTATTCACTAACGTAACGGCTCTGTGGTGCTGGTAGTAGCCTGAGCATTCACTAACCTACGTTACTTTGTATACTGATATCTATGGCAGCTTAGGTATTCTAATAAATATGTATTTAATTTATTTTTTTAAATACTGAACAGCTGGATGAATGGCTGAAAATCTTGCAATGAGTAGCTAAAGATGCAGTCTGCGAGGTCACTTTCAGCAGCTATCAATTGTTTCCCACAACTTTCCATTAATTCTGCTCTAATATCGGCTGAATGGTGTTTTATGGGCATGGTGTAAGTGATCCCACGCCATCCATTTTATCACCGTTTAAATACTATCTGTCGTACCAAAAGATTTTGAGTTGGCTAGAATATAAAGTTACATTAAAAACATGAAAAGACAAACAAAAAGAAAAATTACGGAGATTATTACAGTTTTTGTAAACTGATCGATTTTAACCGGAAAGCGTGAAAGCTGTCCGCATTTCTACATGTTTAAAACATTTTCGTAGCTGGCCTCGGTGGGCGTTTATATTTGAAATATTTTATTGGTGTACGAAGTATATTTTGTAATTTCTTTCATTCTTCCATACCCTGAACACAACTGGTCGCGCGCTAGCGCGACCGAGTCTTGCCAATAGATTCATATATCCTTACGTCCTTATTTTTTGAAAATTATCTCCTAAATCAGGATTGATTTTTTCAATAAGTTGATAATTTTATAAATAGAGCATCGCACAAACGTTCCTACCTTTATCTCTAAAAAAATCTCTAGTTTTTGGAGAAGGTCTAAAAAGTTTTTTAAAAGCTGTAGTACTTAAATGTTGTTAGTACTCGTAATACGGTATGTAATACCCACAGCACTTATCACTTAATCGCCGGCGTATCATGAATTTTTGAAAGTTGTAGTACTTAAATTTAGTAGTACGTATGTTGTAGTACTTAGATTAATGTTGTTAGCTCCTAGAAAGTTCTAGATACATGGTTGTGGGAGTATGTATATATTTTGTATCTAGCAACCCATATTTTAAATGTAGGAGAATTGCTGCTGCACGTGTAACGCAGTTTTACGTTCAAAGTATAACTTATAATTTATTACATCAAAACTTATAATTTATTACATTACTTACTAATTATAGTTTATTACTTACTTAACTTACTTACTTATAATTTTGGTGACTGCTATGCGCCCCGACAAACCGGGCGCATAGAATTTAGCTATGCGCCCGATGTCAGGCGCACAAATTCTTGCGCCCCGAATTTCGGGCGCAGAAATATCGCTGATTTGCTGTTTTTCCGAAGGTTTTCTGTTTTATTTGGTTTCTTTTATTTATTTATTTAATTTTCCTGTTGTATTGTCAAAAACAGAACAGCTTACGTATTATACCTCAACCTGTAAACTTGTTTGCCTTAACGAGGACTACGGCAACAACAACAACGACGCGTAATTATTAAGATTTATTTGTGCATTGGACGAAAACACTAGCACCCGAACACCGGTCACCGGTGCAATCGACTCCGTCGTCCTATCTAAATCAGTCAAATCATCTCCCAGTCAAATCATCTCCCAGTCTCCTCGCAAAAGAAGGTGGGCGTGGGGAAGAACTACTTGATGCATGTAAATCACCTTTACTGTACTGAAATTGATTACTGCAGTGGACACAACAGAAACTAAAATGTACTAAA